AAGGAAGACCAATTGCCTACTACAGCAAGGGGTTAGGGCCTAAACATGCTGACTGGTCCATATATGAGAAGGAGTACTTAGCCATCCTTAATGCAGTGGAGAAATGGGGACCCTATCTACAAGGGAGACATTTTATCATTCAAACTGATCATCAGAGTTTGAAACATTTACTGGAGCAGAAAATCACTACCCTGATTCAGCAGAAGGGCTTAACTAAATTGTTGGGATTAGACTATTCCATTGTGTACAAAAGGGGAAAGGATAACTCAGCAGCTGATGCATTATCCAGAAGAGGGAAGTTGGGAAGTTGCCAAGCCATATCCAACCTTAAACCCCTTTGGTTGGAAGAAGTTCTGCAAAGTTATAAGGGTGACAATTGGGTACAGGAAACAATCACTGCATTAATGATTGATCCAAATTCTGTGCCAGTTATGAAAATGGAGAATGGACTGCTTAAACATAAAGGAAGGATGGTAATTGGGTCCCATGACCAATTAAGAGACAAGCTGATCACTGAGTTCCATAACACTGCACTAGGAGGTCACTCTGGGACACAGGTGACTTACAACAGGCTTAAGGCAGTCTTCTATTGGAAAGGTATGAAGAAGCAAGTTAAACTGTATGTGAAGAGCTGTGACAACTGTCAAAGGAATAAATCAGAAAATGTGCATACCCCTGGGCTGTTACAACCCCTATCTATCCCTGAGTAGGCTTGGGTCCAAGTGTCCATGGACTTTATTGAGGGATTACCTAAATCTAATGGCAAAGATGTGATATTGGTAGTAGTAGACAGATTCACAAAATATGCTCATTTCATGAGTTTGGCTCACCCTTTTACTGCAGAGAAAGTGGCCAATTTGTATATGGAAAATGTGTATAAACTGCATGGCTTACCACAAGGGATAGTGTCAGACAGGGAAAAGGTGTTTCTCAGCAAGTTTTGGAAGGAAATATTTAAAAAGATGGGTACTCAACTGCACATGAGTTCTGCATACCATCCCCAATCAGATGGGCAAACAGAGAGGATTAACACATGTTTGGAAACTTACCTCAGATGCATGAGTTCCCATAAGCCTAAACAGTGGGAAACATGGCTGGCCCTAGCAGAACATTGGTATAACACCAGCCATCACAGTGCTTTAAAAATGTCTCCATTTCAGGCTCTATATGGCTACCCACTTTCCCAATTGGCTATCAATGACACAACAAGAGCAGCTGATGAAAATGCAGAAAGCTGGGTTCAAGGGAGGGTAAATATGCTAGCCATACTCAAGGAGAATTTAAGTTAGGCTCAGCAGAGAATGAAGCACTATGCATACAGGAACAGATCAGAGAGGACATTCTCAGTGGGAGATCTGGTTTACCTAAAACTACAGCCCTACAGACAAGTAACAATGGCTATCAAAAGGAATGTTAAGCTTAGTTCCAAGTTTTATGGACCCTATGAAGTATTAGAAAGAATTGGGCAGGTAGCTTACAGATTGAAGCTTCCAGCTGGGGCCTTGATTCACTCAGTTTTCCATGTTTCCCAGCTTAAAAAGAGGGTTAGTCATGGAAGACAAGCTCACATGGAACCCCCTATGGTTGGTCCTGATGGACAACCATTAACTGAACCAATAGCCATCCTTGGGAGAAGAATCCTAAAGAAAAACAATGCAGCATCAGTCGAAGTTCTAGTGCAGTGGGCTAACCTGACTCCAGAAGAAGCCACTTGGGAGGAGTATCACCACCTTATGTCTCAATTTCCCAATTTTAAACCTTGAGGACAAGGTTGCTTTAAGGGGAGGGTACTGTAACAACCCTACCCAAAACGCTGTGTTTGATGCTTAGGCAGTTACGGTTAGAAGTAGTTAGAAGCAAGGAAAAGACAAGAATGCCCCTGCTTGTTATTACTTAAACCAACTGCTGTAACCGTTTCAAGTTGTTGAATGAATTCTCTTCTTTTCGTTTCTTCTTCTCTTCTCTTTCAATCTAAGAACTGTAACATAATACCTGAAGGTTACAAAAGGGACTGATTTCATCTGGATTTGTGCTTAAAAGGTGTTCCAAGTTTTTCAGTTTGGTGACTCTGGAATTTGACCAATAATTTTTATTTTTTTTACAAATCATGATACAATTGGTTTGGACAATTTAGTGCATCCACACTAATCTTAAATTTTTTGTGATTTTTTATGTGCCAATTAAAAGAGAGAACAAGAAAAAATAAAAGGAAAAAGAAATTTTGACAAACTATAAAAAAAAAAAAAAAACCACAAAAGGACCTTTCTCGTGCAGAGTGCCCGCCAGTTGCCCAGTTGGGGTGAGCAGTGTGCACCTGCTCTGATCTCTTTCTTTTTCTTTTTCTTTTTTTTTTTAATTGCTGACAAAAATTTTATTTTGCAAGAAGAAAAACAAGTCTAAAAATCATTCTCCAGATCAGTAAAATACCATCTCAAAATTTTTAGACTGACAAAAATTCATAAAAATCTATTAATATTAATGCTCTTATTATCAAGTATTTTTTGGAAAATCCAAAGTCAGGTCTTTAAGACGGAGATTGAGATGTGCCAACCAAAGCATAGCATAGAATTTGGACCGACTATCAACTATATTTTATTTTTCTTTTGATATTATTTCTAAAAAAAAAAAGATAAAACATTTTGATTAGTTCACTTATAAATATTTCCCGAGTTGGTACAAGCGCCCAATCAGTCCATGATAGACTTGCCCATGTCAGACGTTCATCAATTCCATGCCCCGGTCATCATCATTGCGGCTCGCTACCGAGTAACGTGGGCTTTTGGATAGACGACTCTATGTACGTCTTTATGGTCGGGAAACAGAATTTGCAAGGAAACAGTACGACCATTATGGCCGGGGTGAATAGGGTGGCTAACACATCTCGGAGCTCCAAGGTGCCCTCCTGGGCATCCATCTTCCTCCTCAACCTTGTCGTTAGACAAGCCCAAAGCCCGCCTGTTAGTCTCTCTGAACTTCTTCGCGTGTTTGTGGCGACTTGGGGCTCAAGCACCCAGTTCGACTGTCTCATGGAGGCAGTGGCGGAGCCACATATACAATACAGGGGGCCTTGACCCCCCTCCATTTTTTTTATATTAATATTATAAGGATTTTTTTTTTTTTTGTTGCCAATTGGCCCCCCTTGTCCCATCCAAAAGGTTCTAGAATAGACTTAGGTCTTGTTTGGTTGGATGTAGTTTAGTTGTAATTGAATTGTAATTCAATGAAGGCCTTAATTACAGTTTTTGGTTGGAAGGAATTGCAATGAAAACCTCAATTAAAATGTTTGGAATGACATTCTAGTCTTTATACTACTTTTTCTTTCACATCCTCAATAATTTTATTCCTCCCTACCAAACAATGTAATTTGAATTCCTACATTATTCATACCTTATTATTTTCCCACCGAATTGCAATTCATTTCCTTCATAATTCCTTCCTCCCAACCAAACACCCTCTTAGTGTAAACTTTGAAAAAAGTTCAGCTCCAAAAGCTTCCAGAGTACTCTTTACTCCAAAATTTAGCCTCATTCTCATCCAAAAAATTCAGCCCCCCCCCCCCCCCACCCCACCCCCACTCCCATAGTCTCATCCAAAAACTTTAAAAAATTTCAGCTCCAACAAAAATATCTTGTTTTTCTGACAATTATCGTGATTGGCCCTCCGCATTCCTACATCCTGGCTCCGCCCCTGCGTGGAGGATTCACCTTGAGATAGGCTCAATGTCGTTGAACTGGGCCCCAAATGGTCTTGAGCCGGCACCTGGGTGCCCGAGCATATTTGACCTGAGTTAGACGTTCAATTCTACGCCCCAGTTCCCAGGTGTCCTCAGGCTCGTATCCCCCGCACTTCGCTGCGCTTGCCTTCCTTGGCCTCAGATCACTATCTTGAGCCCCGGGTCTCCATTCTTAGATCATTTCTAATATCTCCATCACTTATTAGATTGGCTAAATTGAATGATTAGACGTTGTTGGTCTATCAAACACTATGTCTATATTGATGAGATAATATAGAATGTACCGTTTATAGTATATACAGTTTATGGTACTTACACTGCTTAGGAATAATTTTCAATACATTATCGAAGGTTCTGAGTCAAGTGTGAGACAACATGTTTAATTTTCTTCAATTCAGATATTCCTATGTGAGACGAAACATCTATACATTATTGCTTGAAATGGACAGTCATATTGGTGAATATAATGAAAAATTAATATACGACGAAGTTAGAAAAAAATTAAAGTTGGAATTACTAGTAAAAAGCATTTATTCCACATTAAAAAGTAAAGAAAATTTGTAATTTATGTCCCTCAATAATATGTCAATTATCACTGTCACCCCTGAATTATTAGTGGTACGGTGTAAATGTTGCCCCTCAATTTTTAAAACGGTACATATATTGTCCCTTCCATACCGTATGTGAGGGATAATATATGTACCGTTTTAAAAAATGAAAGACAACATTTAACCGCAAATAATTCAGATGTGACATTAATAATTGGAATATTATTTACACTTAGGTATACAATTCTCTACCAGGACTATGTGGTCCAATGGTACCCGGGTTGGACTTCCATTTGGAAGATTGTGAGTTCGAGCCTCAGTGGAGGCGTTATTAGCTCTTTGTGTTTCAGTAGGTTGAGAAAGTATATGAACAGATACTACAATGTAATAGAGCTCGTAGCATTCAAAAAAAAAAAAAGGTATACAATTCTCTTTTTAGAAAATTTTGAATTGTATGTAAAATTTTCTTTCGCCTTCATAGCTTGACTCGTGTGCCATACGTTACGTGCACAGATATTAATTATTACCACTGGCAGCATTAATTTATTGTCGGAACGAATAATCTACCCTACCTCCTATCCTCATCCACAAATATTAAATATTATGATTATTTTTTTCCACATTGGCATTCCCTCTAAATCCGCTATATATAGGATCACATAGAAGCATTGCTTCTTAGTTCTTATAAACCATTTTATTGAATTACTATTCATTAAACTATGATGAGAATCTCCATTTTCACTCATCTTTTTCACATCCTTTATTTGCTTGCACTAAACACCGCACCCTTACATGCAAACAAAGAAGAAGCTGAAGCTCTCTTAAAATGGAAGATCAATGGCGTATCATCATCATCTACTTCTGTACTAGATTCCTGGTCTGTAGAGAGCCTCACAAATGTGTGCAGTTGGGAGGGCATCATCTGTAACTCAGATGGTTCTATTTCAGAGCTAAATCTACCTCATGGAAACATCATAGGTACACTTGAGCCCCTCGCTTTTTCCTTACTTCCTAATCTTACTCGCATCAATCTTAATAACAATAGTTTGAGCGGAATGATACCATCCGCTATCAGCACCCTCCTTAAGCTCACTTTTCTAGATTTGAGCCATAACAACCTAAAGGGGGCAATACCAGTAGAGGTTGGTCAGTTGACAGAGCTCAGGTACTTTAGTTGTTTCAAAAACTTTTTGGACGATGTGATTCCATTTGAAATTAGCAATCTCCAAAGATTGAGGTACCTGGATCTGGGAGCGAATAATCTGGAAACTTCCAATTGGTCTAAATTCCATGCTATGCCTTTGTTGTCGCATCTCAACCTCCGTGCTAATGAGTTCACATTGGATTTTCCAAAAGACTTGATAACAAGTTGCCCAAACCTGTCTTACCTTGATTTGTCAAAAAATCATTTTACCGGCCAAATCCCAGTATCTGTGTTTTCCAAACTAGAGAAGCTGGAGCATCTTGATCTTGGTAATAATTTCTTCCAAGGACCTTTTCCCATTAGTCTTACCAACTTGTCTAGTCTTAAATTTCTTCGTCTTTCATGCAACAACCTTTCTGGTACAATTCCGGATGAAATTGGTTTGATCACCAGTCTTCAAGCACTGAAATTGTACAATAATTCATTTCAGCGGAAGATTCCGCCTTCCATTGGAAGCTTGAAACATCTTCAGTTTCTTTCTCTTGGAATGAATTATCTGAATTCTATGTTACCCTTTGAACTTGGGCTATGCACAAATCTTGAAATCTTGCTTCTAGATAATAACTTTCTAACAGGCAAGTTGCCTCTCAGCATGGCCAATCTTTCCAAACTAGTTGAGTTAGATTTATCTTCCAATATTCTTTCAGGTCCGTTAGTACCACACCTCATTGCTAACTGGACACAATTAACTTCCTTGTTTATAAGCAGAAATAATTTGTCTTGTCGCATTCCCTCAAACATTGGGGATCTGCAAAAGTTGTCTGAACTTAACCTTGAAAAAACCCACCTCTATGGTCCGATTCCTCCAACAATTGGAAATTTGACAGAGCTCATTCTGATAGATCTTTCAGATAACTATCTTAGGGGATCAATACCATGGGAAGTGGGATATTTAACATCACTATCTATTGTTTCCATAAATACCAACTTGCTTCATGGACCTGATACCTTATCAGTCTTTTGCAATGTCACATCTCTTTCAGTCCTTGTTATAGGCTTTAACAAATTGAATGGACATATTCCAAATTGCTTGGGAAACATCACGAATCTAAATAGTTTGCAACTTGATGACAATGAGTTTGACGGGGGTATCCCAAAATCACTATGCAATGCATGCCACCTTCGATTGCTTGGCCTGTCAAGCAATTACTTGAGTGGTGTAATTCCAACGTGCATGGGAAATTTTAGTAATCAACTCTCAGTCTTGAATCTTGACAATAATAATTTGCATGGTGCTATGCACGGAGAGTTTTGCAGTTCAACCTCTTTCAATTTTATTGACCTATCGGAAAATAGTTTGAGTGGTGTTATTCCACCGTGTTTGGGAAATCTAAGCACAACATTGTGGCTACTTGATTTAAGCATGAATCACTTTTATGGAAACATTCCAGAAGAAGCTTTAAAGGGTGATGTTCTGCAAGTTCTCATCTTGGGTTATAATGAATTTGAAGGACCTTTACCTCGTACTCTAATCAATTGCACAGTTCTCAAAGTTCTTGATGTTGGAAACAATGGACTAAATGACTCATTCCCACACTGGTTAGATGCTCTTCCACATTTGGTAGTGCTCATCTTAAGCTCTAACAATTTTCATGGAGTAATAGGCGGCAATACTACCACCAAGGTTCCATTCCCTATGTTGCGAATTCTTGATCTCTCCAACAATCACTTCACTGGGCATTTGCCTGAATATTATTTGCTGCATTTTACTGGGATTATAAATGATATTACTTCTGATTTAGAAGTAACATACTTTGATGGCAATATGGTTTATGGTCTTGGAAGTTCTATAATGCTAGTGGTGAAAGGGTCTGAGCTTCCCGTGGAAGAAATTCTAAACCTCTACACACTTATAGACTTATCAAGTAACATGTTTGATGGCGATATTCCTATTTCCATAGGAATCCTTCATTTCCTTCGGCATCTCAATCTGTCTCATAACAGGCTAACTGGCCATATACCATCATCATTGGGAAATCTGACATTGCTTGAAGCACTAGACATGTCTTGCAACGAGCTGACAGGGAAGATTCCATGGCAATTCTCAAAGCTTGGATTTCTTGAAGTACTGAACCTCTCCTATAATCATTTATTGGGAGCAATACCCCGCAGCGGGCAACTTGATACAATTGCCAATGACTCCTACCTGGGAAATACAGCACTGTGTGGCTTTCCATTGACTGTGGAATGTGAAGCCAGAAAACCACATGTGCGGTCACAAGAAGAAGAAGAAGAAGAAGAAGGGGATTCAGGTTTTTTTAATGGATTTTCTTGGCAGAGTGTGACGATAGGATACTGCTGTTCATTTCCATTTGGAGTCTGTGTGGGATATTTTGCTTTGCGATATGGAAAACTCAACTGGTTGCTAAGGAAACTCATATGGAAGAGAAGAAAGGGTTCCAAAACTACTCTTCCAAGAAGACATGGCAGAAGAAGAACAAATTAAATTATATTTGCAAAGGTAATTAAATTAAAACGAACTTCTTTTTGTTTTACAAACTCCAAATATAAAATTCCAATTTCTTCACTGACATTTTCTATTGCATATATAAGAACTTTAAGTTGTTGCATTTCATAGGCCTTAGCTTGTGATTGCAGGCGGACAGTTTAAAAGGGCAGCGTGCACACAAGTTCTCACCCGGCCAGCTTGGGATGGGAACCTTTATGGGGCAAATTATGCCCTGGACCCGTGTCCACAATGAATTGTGGACACGGGCCCAAAACGACGTCGTTTTTATAAAAAAACGCGTCATTTAGTTAAAAAAAAAAAAATCGCGCGTGTTTTGCCGTTAACGGCGTTATTTTTTTTTTGGATTATGAATGTACAGTTATGCCGTTATGAATGTACAGTTATACCGTTATGAATGTACAGTTATGCAATTATGAAATTATGAACACAAAGCTCTAACATTATGAACTTACAATTATGAACATTTATAGTGGTAAAATTATGACCATGGAGCTTTAAAATTGTGAATATAGAGCTTCGAAGATTATGAATGTACAGTTATGGAGTTATGAATGTACAGTTATGGAGTTATGAATGTACAGTTATAGAGTTATGAATGTACAGTTATTGATCGAATTATGAACAAATAGCTCTGACATTATGAACTTACAATTATGAACATATAGTGATAAAATTATGAACATAGAGCTCTAAAATTGTGAACATAAAGCTTCGAAAATTATGAATGTACAGTTATGGAGTTATGAATGTACAGTTATGGAGTTATGAATGTACAGTTATAGAGTTATGAATGTACAGTTATGGAGTTATGAATGTATAGTTATTAACATATAGTAATAAAATTATGAACATATACTCCTATAACGAAGCAGTCTGAAATTTAAAAAAAAAAAAAAAAAAAAAAAAAAAAAAAAAAAAAAAGATAACAATGCTGTTAGCACTGTTACCCGTGTCCAGCTTGGGTCCACTGCATAACGATTGCCTTTATGGAGTACTTTTTATTTGTATAATAATTATGTCTTTTAATTTTCCTATTGTCTGTTGTGTTATTTTAATTTGAAAAAAAGAGTCAAATAAACCCTCAAATTTTATCTAAAAAATTAATTAAACCCTCAAACTTTTTAAAGTTGCAATTAAGTATATAAACATGTCAATTAAGTTTATCAAAGCACCATTACCTTTTAGTAACCTGCAATATCAGGTCACTGAAATTTCGGCAGTTGTCCGATAATAAAAATGGACAGAAAACAATCTCCTAGGGTCAGAAGGCGACCAGTTTGGTCGCCATCTCCGTCCACTGGAACAAAATATCCCCTTTGCAACATCCTGGAATTCACATAACCAATGAATCACCAGAATAAGATGCAGTTGAGCATCATAAATTCGCCCACAGAAAAAAGAAGCGCTATCCTTGGTTACTACAGAACAAAAGATGGGAAAAAGAAGACGAACAATGGAGATTCTGTGATCCAGTGAAGTGACTGATTAATAGCAAATTAGCAAGGAGAAAAGAGGTGTTTTTCAAGCTACAGAAGCTGGAGCATCTTGATCTTGGTAACAATTTTTTCCATGGACCTTTTCCCACCAGTCTTAAATATCGCGCTACCAACTTTCATGGCATAATTCCAGACTAAATTGGTTCAATCACCAGTCTGGCGGCTGGAAGTGGAAGTCGAAGAGTTTTCTCAGTTTGGTGGCTTGGCAGTTCAAAATCTTTATTATCCTTAATATTTGTAATCTCCTTTAATTTGTTTGTCTTTCCCGTTGTTTGCACTTAATTTGCTATTCCTTTTCCTTGGACTCCTATTTAAACTATGCATGCTATTGTGGGAGAATAGATGAGTGATAAATTTGGAGTGTTTTGTAATCAGTTTGTGATTTGAAGAACTTCTCTGTTTTCCATCATTATTGTTCTACATCATTTAATCTACTTAATTCAACAATTAATTCCAGTTGAAAATTGGGTCCATGAATAGCCTTCGGGTATTAAAGCTACAAAATAATTCATTTCAGGGGAAGATTTGGCCTTCCATAGGAAGCCTAAAACATCTTCAGTATCTTTCTCTGGAAATGATTCAACTTAATTCTATAATTCTATCTTTCAGAGCTGAATCTACCTCATGGAAACATTTGAGGAACACTTGAACCACTTCGTTTTTCCTCACCTCCTAATCTTACTCGCATCAATCTCAAGAACAATAGTTTAAGCGGAGTGATACCATCTGCTATCACCAGCCTTCTTAAGCTCACTTTTATGGACTTGAGGTATAACAGCTTCATGGGGACAATACCAGAAGAAATTGGCTCCATGACTAGCCTTGAGGTACTAAGTCTATTCAATAATTCGTTTCAAGGGAAGATTCCACCATCCATAGGAAACCTGCAACATCTTCAGTATCTAGATCTTGGAAAGAATCTATTGGAATCTATAATTCCTCCTCAACTTTGGCTATCCACAAATCTTGTGTACTTGTATCTAGATGATAACTTTCTAACAGGGGTGTTGCCTCTCAACTTATCAAATTTTTCCAAAATACAAGTGTTAGATTTAGGTAATAATAATGAACTTTCAGGTTGCATTCCCTCAAACATTGGGGATCTTCAAAATTTGCATCATCTTTACCTTGAGGGTAACCACTTCTCTGGTTCAATTCCCCCACAATTGGAAATTTGACACAGCTCTCAGAGTTAGAACTTTCAGGGAACAATCTTAGTGGATCAATACAATGGGAAATAGGATATTTAACATCTCTATCTGCTTTTTCCATAAATTCAAACTTGTTTCATGGACCCCAGACCTTATTAGTCATTTGCAATCTCACATCTCTTGGACTACTTTCTCTAGCAAATAACAAACTGAATGGGCCTATCCCAGAGTGAGAAGCATTTGCTTGCTACAACAGGCAATTTATATCGTGCACCACGGTGCACATAGTAACGTGCGCCCAAGCACAAAACGCGCACATTTCATGCTGACGTCATACTGACATCACTCCATTCATTTGAACAGACCAAATCTCATTATGTGTATTCAGTTAAAATTTTATGTGTATTGTGTTATGAGTTTATGTGTATTCAGTTAAGAGTTTATGTGTATTATGTTAACCAAACTCATTATGTGTATTCAGTTAAAAGTTTATATGTATTGTGTTATGAGTTTATGTGTATTATGTATTATGTTAGATTATGTATATTCTGATATGAGTTTATGTGTATTCTGTTATGAGTTTATGTGCATTCGAAACAGGAGATTTTTTTTTAAACAACTTAACAAAACGACGGCGTTTTGGAGGCGCGGGGGCGCACAGTGCTATGTGCCGCAAATTATGCCCTGGACCCGTGTCCACTATGCATTGTGGACACGAGTCCAAAACGACGTCGTTTTCATGGAAAACGCGTCATTCTAGTTTTTTTAAAAAAAAATTGATTTTGTCTCGCTGTTAACGACGTTATTCGTTTGTGCCATTATGAATGTACAATTATGGGATTATGAATGTACAATTATGGAATTATGAATGTATAGTTATGGAATTATTATTGTAAATTATAAAATTATGAACACAGAGCTCTGACATTATGAACTTATAGTTATAAAATTATTATTTCTCCCCTTTTTGATAAACATTAGCCAAATGTAACACAACCATAACAGCATGTATTGAACAATGCAAGAAACTTCAACTAAGAGCATGCAATTGATATAAAATCTGAAATATGAGAGGTTCACAGCGGGATGTATATGAGAGGTGTATCAATACTGGAAAGCTTTCACACGAGATCTTCTCAAGTCCTTGTGAATCCATATTAAGTACATGGTAGCCCTCTTCCAGGTAACCAATTTAAGGAACCCTTAACTCTAGATAGCTTTCACTTCGGGCTGTTCTATGGTTCTTTTGAATCGTAGCAGACACCGGGTAGTCCTCTTCTAGGTAAGTATTTCAGATATGTCAATGGAGCGTTTTACACTAGACAGCTTTCCCTCCGGGTTGTTCTAGGGACCTTTGGAACCGTAGCAGACACCGGGTAGTCCTCTTCTAGGTAAACATGATAGTATGCACCAGTTCAATAGTGTCATAGAAGCTCAAGTTTAATATGGGTAATCAGAGTGGAGAAAAAAAATGGGCAATCAGCATTTTAATCTGGTTTAGAGTGGTGCCAAGAGGATAAACTATCCACAGACTATCAATAATATGCTCTAGAGGAAATACTTGCAAATTGCACAACACTACTACTGAAAGTTAAACATTACCAGTGACCCCAATAGAACTGATTCGATGAAGAGCTCGCGGATCCAAATGAAGTGTCACCATTGCACACAGGGTTGTGCCCATCACTATTTTCAGTACCAAAACCTTTCAGTTTTAATAGAAGGCGTTGGGTGTGAACCTCCCGATCAACCAATTCCTTTCGCTGATGAGAAAGCAGACATAACTCTTTTTTCTAGGAACTTAATAGTCAATTCTGTAGCACTTGCATTTTGACGAGGGACTCGCATGATCAACAAACTCTGACACACCTAGGTCAGCAAAATGTGATCACGTGAGAAGGTAGTGATCAACCATTATGAGTGCTGGCTCGGCTTATGCTTCCATATCAGAGTTGCAAAGGCTTATGAGAAGCATTTGTCTTACATTTAAAAGTGATGTTGTTTATACAATAATTTCTTTTTTAGAGAAGTTTGAATTGTATAGTAGAGATTCTCTTTCAATGAAAATATAGTTACTTCAATCTCCATCACCGGCATTCCTTTCAAGCTTATCAATGTAAATTAAGGGTGTGTTTGGTTGATGGGTTTTGCTCATAGGAATGGATATGAAAGTGATTGTTATTGTTTGGTTGATAGGTTTTTAGAACACTACTATGGGTTTCGAATTCCCCATCAATTGAAAAACCCACACCCAAGTAAAACAAGGGTTTCATTCCCTTATTCATTCTCAATCACTAGTATTAGTAATTGAAAATATGTAATGCAGAAATGTAGCACAATATGCAGAAATATACGAAGCACCAAATTAAGTACACAGTTGAATTTTTTAACGCAGTTAGAGAACACCTCCTAATCTGCGGGGCCACACCCAAACTTTTTCACTAAAGATCAACTCGTGATTTTTACAATTACAAGGCTCAATGAATTACAAAACTAGGTCTACCAGCTATTTATACATTGACCTTATAAACACAACTCTATGAAAAAAGTATACAATACAATTTGAACTAATTCTACTAATTAAAC